TCCCAGAACTCCCCGACTTTAAGACCTGTGGACTTCAACTCCCAGAATTCCCCAGCCAGCACAGCTGGCTGGGCAATTCTGGGAATTGAAATCCACAAGGTTGGACTCCCCAGTTCTACAGGACTAGAAGATTTTTCCAAGGTCTCTTCCAATTCTGTCATTCTGTTACCTTCCCTCTTTCTGCACAGATTCCATCTCTAAAACTGAAAAGGCACAAGAGATGTTTTTTTTTTGGGGGGGGGGGGGGGGGGGAGAGTTCAGAAGGGGGTCTCAGCCAGCCGTCCAAGAGCTTGGCTTCCTTTGCGCCGGACTCAGTGAGGGTGACTTTGGAGCCAAGACACACAGCCGCTCTCCAGAAACACCTTCTCAGTAGAATCAGACTCACAACTAGAGTTCTTTCTTGGTCGGCACAAAGCTGGACGGAAATTAAAAATGGCAGAATAACCCAAATGATCTTTCTACTCACTTAACCTCTGGCTTCTCATTGGAGACACCGTAGCGGTTGAACTCGGTGGAGATGTATTCGGTCTTCCGCATCCATGGCACAACTTTGGCGTGCTGCTGTGACCTGAAGAGAAAAATAGCAACAGTCAACCTGGATTTTTGTTTTTCTCCAGAGTTGCCACCCCCAAAGCCCATCAGGCTAAAATCCAATTATTCCCAGCCAGCGCAGGAATGCCAACGCCTCCACGCACTCTGAGGATAGGCCATTTCTGCCCTTGACTTAAAATGAGCGTCAGGTTTCCTTGGCACAGAAGTATAATTTGTTTGAAAAAGACCCTATTCTAACTACTGGTTCCTACATAAAACCAGTCAGGTTCAACGTTAGTCCAAACCAGTGGACCAGTCCCAATCTTGAGTGCGCTGTACAATCTGTATTTATTGAGAACATTTCTGTGGCTGCCCAATTTGTTCACAGTGACTCCCGGGGAATTACAGAAATAAGATCCCAATGTAGCAAATATTGCGAGAGACCACTTACTCCCTCAAAAGCAGCTATAATGCTCAGTGTAGAGAAAAAGAGGCCGGAGTCAAGAGAGGAATCAGCTTGGGGTCCTTACGTGGCCACAAACGGTGTGCCCAACTGCTCTTGAATTTCATGTTACCCAGCGCCAATTTAGTGCTGACCACCCTAAATTGATTAGATTCTTGCGTAGAGGCCTGAGCAATAAATCAGCTTAACTGGAACTTAATGTATGGTCTTCGTTCTTCACACTTGATAGTTAAATGTTTGCATATGGATATACAGCCAGAGTTCCTTTGGATAGTTGAGATGGGTGGTATATTAATAAATATGTGAGAGAGAGAGGGAACGGAGCAGCTGCCAGCATGGTGAGGCTGAGGAGAGTTGTGTAGACTTAAGAGGCAGATGTTAAGGTCCAGAGATCTTAGGGACTCTCTCACAAAGGAGGACATCACTTAAAGAGCCACAGCCACAAAGCACTGCAAAAAACTCTGGACAATCTGATGCAGGGGTGGGGGACAGAGGGGCATCTGGAGTAAGAACAGGGGCAGCAGACCCTGGAGCAAGGCTGCAGCGTCCAAGGGATTGCACTACCTCTTGGAACTGGTGGGTGCCTGGATCTCCTCCTCCAGCAGTTTCTCATCCGCGGGATCTAGAAGAACTAAAAGAAACCAAACGTGGTCACAGGTTGATCCCCACCATTGAGCCTGCTCAGAGAGCTACGCAAAGAGTTGAGATGCAATCTGGCCTCTTTGCATTCTGTAGTGAAGCTCCTGGAATCCTGCTGGGTTCGATCACTGGAGAGGTAGGCATTCAGTCGTGCAACACCAGGAACTGGGACCAAAACTTCCCATGCTAAGCAATGTAACCGCACTACTCAAGTGACAGAAATCCCAGGAGGTGGTTTGAATTCACAGCATAGTTGTGTTCTCTCCCCAGCAGCTAGTTTTTTAGTGTGTACCTGAAATCTGGGGTGCAGTTTCTCCTCACCCACAAAACGGGCACACCTCCCCAACCGGCATCGATTTGCTCACAGACATTATTAACCCTCCACTGCGATGGGCGTAGAGAGGGTCCATCTCACCATTGGGGTCAATGCGATACGTATCCGGGTTTATCAGATCTATGGTGACTCCCAAGTCGGGTTCCGTCAGCAAGTCGTGCTTGTGCTGCTTCTCGAGCGAGGTGGCCTTGTACTGGACGAACCTGGAGCCGGGAAGGAAGCCACAAAAACCTTCATCCGCAGAAAATCACCCGAGCAGCTGTCCAACGCTGAAGCCCACTCAGAAACGTCCACTGGCAGCAAGGCGGTCCCATTTCCCAAGCGAGACCAGCCAAACCCCAGGCCGGACATAAAAGGATCCCCCTCCCCATCGCAGGAAGAGTGGGGGTTCCAGGGCTTCGGCTTCCTGGGGACCCCAATCCTGCAGCAATTCAAAGAAGGCAAAGAGGTCCCCCAAATTGTGGCATGTATTCACGAATGAAGGGCCTTCTGGGCGGCCTTCTCATCCCTCACGGCTTTCAGCCCACAGTCAAGACAGAGGACAGGCAGTCCTCAACTTACGACCACAACTGAGCCCCACATTTTTCAAAGTCGGCCCCTTGAAGTCGGGTGGACTTCAACTCCCAGAATCCCCCCAAAGTTGCTGCCTTAACCCCCCCCCCCCACGTTGAAGAGAAACCGGGCCCTGTTGGAGGGGGCCTCCGAAGTCCAAAGCTGAACCCCACTCAGCCCACCCATCCAGGGCAGGGTTCCCCGCGCTTTCCCTCGCCTCTTTCCGGGCCAAGGGCTGAGGAGGGGAGGGGAGGAGGGCGGGGGGCCCTCACCTGTTCTGGTCGAAGGGGTAGGTGATGAACTTGGGGTCGAAGGGGATGTCGGGGAGGCTGTTGCAGTACTTGACGCGGCAAACCACCCCGGACCTGCGGGAGAAGGGAGGGAGTCAGGGGGAGGCCGCCATCGCCCCCTCTTGCGGGGCCGGAGCCCCCCGGCGGGACAGGGGGACGGGGGGTCGCCTTACCTCTCGGGGAGCGTCCGGTGCGAGTTGGGCCTGCGGAGGAGGAGAAGAAGCGGACCGGGAGAGAGTCAGTGACAGCGGAGGATGGAGGGGGAAAGGCCGGGGCTCCCCCCACCCCGGGGGCGCCCCCTCCCCACCTGTGGCCCGGCTCCTCCCGCTGCGCCTGAGTCTGGATCGTGGGCGCCATAGCAGCGGCTCCCACCAACGACCGAGGGCGCAGGCGCCAGCCCTCTCCTGCCGCAGGGAGCGCCGGGAAGCGGAGTCCGGGAGCCCGCCGATGTCCTTCGCGCTAAGCATGGAGGGACTGCAGCTCCCAGAGGGCCGCGCTCCGCGAAAGACCTGCTGGGAAAAGTCGCTCTCACGATTGCGTCGGCGGGGGGGGAAGCGCTTCCGCGGGGCACGCCGTCGCTCAGAGAGTCGCCGCCGCGCAGGGCACGCCGGGAAGGGTAGTCCCGCGAGAGCCGCCGAAGATGGCGGCGCCGCCTCAGCCGCAGGTCCCTCCGCCGCAGCCCCAGGCGCCCCCGCAGCCGCCGATGATGGGCCAGGTGGGGCCCTCGGGGGCCGGGGGGCAGCAGGCCGCGGCGGGGGCGCCTCCTCTGGCCGCGGGGCCGGCGCCCTCGGGCATGCAGGTGGCCGCGCAGGCGCAGGACTTCGACCCGGTGCAGCGCTTCCGCCTCCTGCTGCCGCAGCTGAAAGAGAGCCTGCAGGTATGGGAGGGAGTCCGGGGCGGCCCTCAGACCCAGGGATTCCCTTCTTTTATACACGCATGCGTTTATATTCATGCATACATACATATACATATACATACATACGTACGTGCGTACATACATACATACATACATACATACATACATACATACATACATATATATATATATATATATATATATATGCACACATACGCACACACACATACTTTGTTTCCCCGAAAATAAGACCCTGTCTTATTTTTTTTGGCCACCCAAAAAGGCACCAGGTCTTATTTTCAGGGGATCTCATCCCCTGACTAACCTCACTTGCGCACGAACGACTTCTGTGGCCGGCAAGGCTTTCCTGAAGGCCTCTGCATCCCATGACTGAGCTCTGGGTTGATGCAGAGCTTTGTGATCAGCTCGAGGCCTTCAGGAAAGCCCTGCTAGCCTTGCCGGCTGCAGAAGAAAGGGGCCAGCAAGGCAGGTGGGGGTGGGGTGGGTGCGAGGCCTGGCTACACCTGTCCAAAGGTGTCCAAAAGTAGTAGGGCAGCTCCACCCCACCCCCCATCCCCACCCTACCTTCATTTTTACCCGTCCACTCTGGAGTGGGTGGGATCTTAATTGGGGCTTATATTGGGCACACATGTAAAAATCAAGCTAGGACTTACTTTCAGGGTAGGTCGTATTTTCAGGGAAACGGTATGTGTGTGTGTATGTATTATACATTTTTCTTTAACATACATAAGCGCTTAGTAAACAGTGTATCGTCTGGGTCAATTGTATCCATAATAATAGTAATAATAATATTTTTCCTTGAAGGCCATCCCTCTGCTAAACAAACAATTCCCTCCACACTGTCCAACTATTTACAAAGTCTGCACTACTATTACTATTAATCTTCTCATCACTCCTTGTCTCCCATCCCCTCCCACTTGAGACTGTATGGCTGTAACTTAGTCAATATGAATCGTGAGGATACAAGCGACAGTTTCCTAGTATGATTCGATGGCTTATTCTACCCTATGGCTATTATTAAGTGTTGCACCTGATGATTCTTGACTCTTGACGAATGTCTCTTTTCTTTTATGTACAGTGAGAGTATTTGCACCAAGAGAAATTCCTTGGCCAATCACACCTGGCCAATAAAGAATTTTATTCTATTCTTCTGTTCTTTTCTATTCACTTGTACATAGTGATATCCTCCCAGGTTCTAATTTCTGCCTCTAATATCGAACCATTGGTAGAACAAATCCCATGTTAAAAATATTCTGTGTCTTCTTTATCTTTAATGTTAACTTATCCATTCTCTTCTTTAGAGGTGGCTGCTTGGAAACCCCCTTTTAATATTCTCCTTCTGCCTTCCCCGTTTCAGAACCTGATGAAGGTGGCTGCCCAGAACTTCGCCCAGAACACCAGCATCGACAGCGGGCAGTGAGTTCCTCCCCTCACCCTTCCCTCTCCGGAGCCCAGCTGAGCCTGCCCAGCCTGCTCCCTTTCCTTCTGCCCAAACCGCAAACTCTTCCTTCTTTCTTTCTTTCTTTCTTTCCTTCAGGAAAATCAGCGAAGTTCCAGTGCAGAGAGTAGACAAAAGCCTGGAGGAATTTTACGCCTTGTGCGACCAGCTCGAACTCTGTCTAGTAAGTCCAGCAGGAGCGGGGGGGGGG